ATAGAGCCCTAAAAAACTTTTGGAATAGATAACTTCATCATCATTAAGCTTATTCGGTTTGAGCGTTCCCATTTTTCAACCTTATTCTCCTGTGGGTTCTTTGGAGTTGGAATAGGTTTCTCAGTTTAAAATGTTAGATCAAGATTTATACAGCTAAGAACTATCCAATTGCTTCCTTTCAGACCAAGTTTGTCCCATTAAGCATGGGGATTGAATTCACTTGACAGTAACATTTGAAGCGATATAAATATTAACTAAATAAAAAAAATATAATGTTAATAAAATGTTTGCAAATCACTAAGAATATCACATAAATTATATACAACAAGATAAGCAAATATTTTACGTAATAGACTCATTACAAGATACCCATTACAATATTAATTTCTAGTCTTTGGACAAAGAAATTAATTTGTAATTGGTACTCTAATTGAAATGATCAAATATTGACAATTAGTTCTATCAAATAATAATCTTTCTTTTGATCGAGTATTATTCACATGCAAAAAAAAAAAACTTTATAATTGTCACGTATCTATCATCATAGACATGTTATTGTTTGGCCAAATTGTGTCTTCCTTTCGATCGAACACAATTCACATAAACAATACCATACTAACATATATATAATTTTAATTTAATTAATAATTATTTAGACATGCAAGTAAATGGGGAAGATCCATAATTGATAAATTTGCTTTTAAACATGATACCAGTAAATATTCAAAGTATTTTCATGACAAAATAATTATAATTATAAACAAACACACCTTAATGCTATCACAAAATTCATAACAAAACTACAAAAAAAAATTAATTCTAGAAAATCTCTTAAAAGAAACTTTAGCATGCAAGTGCTCTAATAAAAGACATATACATGAAAACATGATAATTATATGTGCCCATCAATGAAAACACAAGTCACACCAAAAGCACCTAAAATGTATGAAATTAACATGTTTTCATGATATTATAATAATCAAACATGTCTTTATGTAATTACAATGTCAAAGAACAAACCATATATCAAGCATGATGATTTCTTAATTAGTCAACGATTGATCCAAATTAAAATATAGGTTTTAACCAATAAATCTATTTGGATAAAAAACTTTAATTCCCAATAATCTAACAATAATGATGGTTCTGATACCATTTATTGTAATTTTGATAATTACCAAATAACAAACAATATACATCGTGTTAGATTATCAAGATTCTTGAGTTTAAATTATACCTTGATCCATTGATGTTGGCCGGAGGTTGCAACAAAATATTCTTTTATTGTAATGATCTTTCTTAGTCAAATCATCGAATTTTGTAAATGCAACTAGATGTTTCTCTTGTGATGGAAAGAACAAGACATTCTTTTAATTTGGTGTATTGAAAACCATGATCATCTTTACAATTTTAAATCTATTAGAATTTTTATTAACCCCTAATAGACCAAATTCGGTTTTCACTTATTGGACCCATATCAGCTTTTCTTATTGGTAGTCTAAAAGTTCACTAAAATTTGATCACTTTTATTGAGTCCAATTAATGTAAATAGCTAATATAAATGCTAAAAATAATATATATAACCTACATTAAATATTATAAATAAAATTTGTAACATGTTCTAGACTTAAGTTGTTACAAGAGATTTGTTCCAAAGACTTCACTCGTTAGAAGGCTTGTTCTTTTTTCCTCTCTCAAACATTTTATTTATGGCAAGGCTTGTACGGAATTCGTGGGTTATACGTAAAGATTATGTATTTTGGGTTTAAAGGGCAAGGTTGTTAGAACGTTTGGTGCGTTTATGGCTAATGGGGTTTCATACAGTTTGGAGTTTGGCGCGTTTATGGCTAGTGGGGTTCCATAGGTTAGGAGTTTGGTGCATTTATGGGTATAGTGGGGTTCTATGTGGTTACTTTCTAAAAAGAAAGTATTTTAATGTATTTTAATTCAATTGAACATACCTTATCAATGGATTATAACTTATAAGAACTAATTTCTTTGTTAACAACATTATATATAATATAACTTTTGAACAAAAAGAAATGCAAAAGTTCACTACAACTAGTTTCAATGTGAACCAGTACTGCAACTAGTTTTCTTATAACTTTTTTTTATGTATAATGGAGATAGAGATTTCTATGTAATGAAGTTGTGTGGTACTGTGTGAATATATTTAAGGTTATAAAAGTATCATGATTATTGCATAGATACTAAGAGGCATGGGACCATTGTATAAGTTGTACATAGTTTGAGAATGTTGGCTTAATGACATTGATTAATTGGAATGTCTATTAGGTAGTTCATGTTAAGAATGTAAATTATGCTAGAACAATTTTAACTTTTATTCAACATGGTTTGTCATGCTGCGCTAATATCCATCATTGTAGTATTAGTGGTTCTAGTCTAAGTAGTTGTTGTAATGAATAAATTTTTCCTTTTTCTTTTTTGAAAAGAAAATGGTGAATTGTAGTATTATGATGACTTTTTGTGTACTTTTGTAGTCTTTTCTCAAATATGAAACAAAAGGAGTATTTTTATTTTTGCAAAATAGGAAGTGTTTTAGTGATATATAAATCTTCACGTATTTAGTTGTTTACTTGTTTGACCTTAAAAAATGTTATACCTTTATGTTTAGATATTTCTTTTTCAATTATTCATCATGTTTGTTATAATTTATGATTAGATTTGATAATTGTCAATCTAGATATATATATTTTTAGTAAGGTTATTGTAGTATCAATGAGTTAGGATAGGATCAATAGTTTAACTTATTTTTATCATATTTAAGAATGAGTTATAACTATGTTCCAAAAATATTCAATTTTACATTATAGGAGGGTTCAAACGATACCGGTATAACTTTTACTAAGTGTTACATTGCTTAATAACTTTATATTAAATGTGAATTTTGAAAATCTAATCGTTAGATTGAAAGTTCATATCTCTTAGATCATATATATCAAATTTATATTAATCTAAGATGATTTGATACTTCATTCTCATAAAATAAAATTGACGTAATATATACATTTCAAAATATACTAAAATATGAACACTTTGATTATCTTCAAGTTGTTGTTCAATTTTAACAAAATTTGACATATATGATCTAAGAGATATGAACTTTCAATCTAACGATTAGATTTTCAAAATTCACATTTAATATAAAGTTATTAAGCGGTGTAACACTTAGTAAAAGTTACATCGGTATCGTTTGAATTCTCCTCATATATATATATGTATGTGTGTATGTATGTATATATATGTATAGACATGTTTATTTAGCTTTTTCCAATAGCTTGTATAACTACTTAGGATGTACCAATGGACAAGAGACACATAACTGTTTAAATTGCTTTTCTTTTGCTTTTTAATTGTATTTATAAAGAAAATTTTATTTACTTTTATACTCATATATTTATGTGTAATTATATAAATAGTCTTTCATGTACCTACGAAACCAACTATTTCATATAACTATATGTTAACCTTTTTTTTAATTATTATTTTATCTCCACATGCGTGTCAATAATTTTATTTAGCAAAAATGATTAAGGTTTTTATAAAGAACATTATCTTTTTAAATTAAACTTAAATAAACTAGATCTCAATTCCAACGAACTGGGTATAGTACATGGAGTGATCTAACCAATATAAATCTTGTTTGTCTTTCTCTTTTCCCCTTATATCTAATTGTTGCATTTGATTTGATATAAATATGTATATCTTGATTATCATATCACATATTATGTGCATCATCCATAGTGATATTCATATCACAAAAAGAATTTGCTAAATCTTTGAAATATTGACAAAATTGGTGGATATTTATCCCTAAATAAGTTTTGATAAAAGAAAATTACAACTCTTGACTATACCAAAAATAAATAATTAAATACATGCAAATTTAATTTATTCAAGTAAATTTTACTTTTCTGGTATATTTTTCCTTCAATAAAGATTTTTCATACAAGATTTTCTTTATCTACTTTCTTTCCTTTCCTTTATATCCCAATTAAATGATAAAATATTTATTTACTTACATATTTATCTTAATCATTTTCATGTTTCTCCTTCATAATTTTTTAAATATTTTACAAATAAATTTTCTCATTTATTTCAGAATAAAAGTGATAAATCAAATTATTTGAAAAAAAAATAATTATCGACAAATTTAGTAGATATTTACCTATAAATAGGCAGATTTAATGAGAGGAAATTATAACTCCTTTTATACTAGAAATAAATAAATAAATGTAAATTTGACTCATTTTAATAAATTTTACCTTTTACATAGTTTTCCACCTACAAAGTTCTTCTTTAAGACATATTTCATCTTTTTTCCTTTTCTTTCATTTTTTTATCCTTAATTAAATAATAAAGTATTTACTTACTTATTTATCCGAGTATTTTCAAATTTCCCCTTCAAAAAAATTCTTTCATTTTTCAAGTAGTTTTCTCATTGATTTTATTCATACATCATTCACACAATTTCGTTTTTTTTTATATATATAATTTTATATACAAATGAGATGTAAGTGATGAAATTAGACGGTAAAATAATCTCACAAGTGTTACAAGACGGTAAAATATTTATAATAAAAAAAATAGTGTTTTTATTTGTTTAGGATATTTTTCAATTAAAAACCAACTTCTTGAAACATAAAAATTGATTTAAGGGCAGACTTTTTTTTTTTTTTACAGAATTTGTCTTTATTAGGACAGATTTTGTTTTTTATACGTATAGATCTCCAGATCTAATTTGCGACCACAAAATTTAATAATATAATTATTTCTTTTCACTCTCTAATAAAATAATAATATCATTTATATAATATTTTTTTTTATATTTGATAAAAATAAATTAACATGCGCACTTCCCTTCCCGCCATAAAATATGAAAAAAATCTCTTCCCTTCCAAAACCAAACCCTAAATCTGAATTTGGTACCAAAGTGAAATCCTGAAATTTTCAGAACTATTTTCAAAACCGCTTTTTTTTTTTTTTTCTTTTTTTTTTTTTCTTGTTTACCAAATCATACATAAACCATGGCAACTCTCTCTGTTTCTCACTCACTCTCCAATTCCAATTCCATTTTCTCTCATCCTTTGCCACCGAGTCACCACCTCACAAATGGAGACTCGTGCAAAGAGAAAGGCAAAAGCTTCTTCTTCCGTAGTCTTATACCCCAAACGACACCGTGTTGTGTTGGGTGAGTTTCTCGATTTCCCAAACCTCCATGAAAATCCTTGCAAAGAGAAACTTCAATCTCAGAAGAACCCATCTCCCACAAACAAAGCCCTTTTTTCTTCTGGGATTGATGAATCTTATGTTTCCCATATTGATGAGTATCTTTATGAGATGGAGAGAAAGAGAAGGCCAATGATGAATTACATTGAGAAAGTTCAGAAAACAGTTACATCAAGCATGAGAGCAATATTGGTGGATTGGTTAGTGGAGGTTGCTGAAGAGTACAAACTTCTCTCGGATACCCTTCATCTCTCTGTTTCATACATTGATAGATTTTTATCGGTTAATCCTATGACTAAATCGAGACTACAGTTGTTAGGTGTTTCGTCAATGCTCATTGCTTCGTAAGGTTTCGATTCCAGTTTTTAATTTTGATTTTGATTTTTTTTTGTGTGTTTATGTATGACAATTGCATTCTTTTTTAACATGCAGTAAGTATGAGGAAATTGACCCACCAAGTGTGGATCAATTCTGCAGTATTACTGATAACACTTATGATAAAGAAGAGGTAATTTGTTTGGGGATTTTTTTTTTTTTTTGTTATTAAATTATGTTAATGTTATTTGTTGGTTATTTTTCATTCACATTGATTTTCATGGTTACTGGTTTTCATGGTTACTGGTTATAGGTCATAAAGATGGAAGCTTCCATACTCAACTCCCTAAATTTTGAAATGGGAAATCCTACTGTAAACACCTTTCTAAGGTAAGGAATAATGATTTTATCTGGTGAATTTGAATATTTAGTTTTTGTTAAAATTGAATTAATTGAAGGAAGTTATTTGTTCAGGAGATTTGTTGATGTTGCTTCTGAAGATCAAAAAGTAAGTTGAATTGCTCTTTTTGTTTTTCTTGATTGTCTAAGTTTTATCATGTTTTTTTAATATTTTTTTTCATTATTTTTTTCAGATCCCAAATTTGCAGATTGAATTTTTGAGCAACTATCTTACTGAGTTGAGTCTGTTGGACTATGATTGTATAAGATTCTTGCCTTCTATTGTGGCTGCATCTGTTATATTTCTTGCAAGATTTATTATCTCACCTAAAGTGCATCCTTGGGTAAATATTATACATTATGAAAAGTAATATAAATATTTTTTTTTTTTAAAGAATGAGCTATTAATCATGTTTAAAGGCACTAAAGAGTTGATAGTCAATTGCAGACTTCTTCCCTTTGTGAATGTTCGGGTTACAAATCAGATGAGTTGAAAGAATGTGTTCTCATTTTACATGATCTGTATCTCTCAAGAAAAGCACCGGATTTTAAAGCTGTTCGAGACAAATACAAACAACATAAGGTGATTATTTTTATATTTTTTTTATAGTATATTTTAATTTTTTTTATGATAAATTGAGTGACAAGAAATATTGTATTTGAACAGTTTAAATACGTGGCAAATTTGCCTTCTCCTCCCTTTATACCGAGTTGTTACTTTGAAGACCAGTGATACAGTGGAAATTCTTTGATATTATTGTTAAAGTGTACGATGAGAGGATCGTGAAGAATTTTCATTTTCGACAAAATAGCCGATACTATACATATCTTATTTTATGAGAAAAGTCTACTCTGAATTCGAAGGCAAATTGATTCAAATGATGTGGGTTGAGTGGTTCAACCAATAAAGTACAAGAGTTTCATACTGCTTCTTTCAACAAACAAGTGATTTTGATCTTGGGATTTGGAGATGGTTCTATTTTCATAAAAACATTAATTTATTTGTTGCTCTATAAAGTTATGGTCATTGCTCAAGCCCTTTTGATATAATTCGTTTACCTAGATTAGCAAAATCAGAACCAAAGAAAAATTTTCATAGGGATGAATATGTAGAAATCAGAAGGATCTTGAACTGCACAGAAAAGAACAACAACTATGATGAGCTCAAACAGAGAAACAAGGAAGATCATTTTATTGACACATGTCACATTAATTATGATGGAAAACTTCATCCAAAATTTTATGAATGAATGGCAAGTTTTATTATATTATATTTTTTATACAATGTACACTCGATGGTAGTTAATAATATTTGTAAATGATATTTTTTTTAACATTGATAACTATTATTATCTAATGTTAGTATTTTTAAGTCAATTTTTAATTTAATTTTTAAATAATAAAATTTTACATAATTATAAACAAGTAAAAATTGAAACATTATACGTACATCATTGTGCGCATGGCAATTTCAATTATTATACCATTCTTATTAAATGTCAATTGCAAATAAAGACATATTGCATAGTAAAAAATCTTTAATGGAGAAATTTATTACTCATAAAATCGCTCTAGTACTAAATGTTAATGAATTTTATATTTATATATAATTTTATAGAGTTTATTATTTAGGAAAATTATACTTTAAAATTTTTAGATAATATATTTGGGACTACTTTCATAAGAAATCATTTTTTTTGACAAATCCTCCTTTAACTTATAATTATGTTGTGATTGTGATGTCACATTTGATTTCTCGATTTTTTGTTTTACGCTTTTTTTAATTTGTGTTAATATTTTTACAATGCTAAATTTTGAATAAAAAAGAGTTTTTATTAATATTTTTCTCTATTTGATAAATAGTGTTGTAGATATTTTTTGAGTACCCAAAACACTTGGAAAGAATTATCTTTATGATTCATCCTTACGAAAGTTAAATTTAGTTTTCTTAAAGCATTCTCTCTCTATAGTGCTTTTCTAGGCATCTTCAAAAAAACTTGATTTTTCAAGTAAGTGAAAGTAGAATTATTTACTAGATGATTTCAATTTTATGCAACTCTTATAATCCTTATGGTATTATCACTGTGCGTATGACAATTTCAATTCTTATACCATTTTTATTAAATGTCAATTACAAATAAAGATATATAACAATCCTAGAGTAAAAGATCTTTAACGAAGAAATATATTATCCATAACCTAGTTCTGATACTAAATGTTAATAAATTTTATAATCATATATATAATTTTATAGAGTTCATTATTTAAGAAAATTACACTAAAAAATCTTAATAATATATTTATTACTACTATCATAAGAAATCATTTCTTTGTGAGAAATCTTCCTTTAACTTATAATTATGTTGTGATTGTGGTGTCACATTTGATTTCTTGTTTTTTTTTTTTTTTATCTTTCTTCACTTTTGTATCGTTAATTTTTAAAGATGTTAAATTTTGATTCACAAAGAAAGAGTTCCTATCAATGTTTTTCTCCATTAGACAAATATTGTTGTAAGTACTTTTTGCGGGTACCCAAAAAACTTGTAAAGAATTATCATTCTAAATTAATAGTTAAGTTATTAATAATATAATATATAAGAATGAACTTTTGAGATAAAAATAATAATATACCTTAATTACTTGAAAAAAGAAATTATTATATTTTTTTATCCTTTTCTAATTTATTATTATAATAATTTTTTGGTAATTATTATAATTATTTTGAACATAGATATATTTTATTTATTTTATAGTGTATTCTCATTCAACTATTTTTTTAAAAATTTATTATTTTTACCTAAGGAAATGTTGATCTAGTTGCATTAATTGTAGCCTTATTGGCTTCTATATGAGCCAAAACAACATTATGCTATTTATAGCCATTATCTTCATTACCTTGAGTATCTGGTTTTCATTAAAAGGTGGTAGAGAATGATATTTAGGAGGTCTACCTACCATCTTATACTGAGATCAATAAAATTATAAGATAACATTGTACAACAACAATCAACACAACGACAACATATGTTAACTACACAACAAAATCATAATGAGATCACCTTTATAAAATTCTCAAAAGACTTGTTTGACTCTGATACCATAAAAGTGTAATGTCTCAGCAAATCACTACATTTTATTATAAATTATGACTAAGTAGTGAAAAACATAAACATCTTCTAACCTAGATTTACATGAAAGTAGTTCTTGGACATTCATGCAACATATATATATATATATATATGTGTGTGTGTGTGTGTATGTATGTATGTATGCATAAGGTGTAAAAAATATAAATCAATTCTTGCTCATATCAATTAAGAGTAAAATAAAAGGAAAAATATCTATAAGAAAATAATTATTCACTATATCAATAACTCATGGGGCATGCTTCTATTATTTAAAAGATTTAAATATCTTTTTGGTTCCTCAAACTTAAAACTACTTATTTTAGTCTTGTAATTTTTTAAAATTTTGTTTTAATCTCTTATGTCATTAACAATATATATGAAAGTCTCAAATTAAGATATTTATACAATATCTACTAGGTTTAATGTCAAGTTTTCACTAACAGATATTAATAAGTAGATTTTGTGTGATAATATTCGACAGATTCTTTAAAAAAAACTAGTATAAGGACTAAAATAATTTTTTTTTTGAAATTATAAAGATTAAAAATATCAATTTTAAATTTGAGGAACTAAAAACTAACTTACCTTAAATTTGAAGTACTAAAAATTTATTTAAACCTATTTAAAATATAAACAATAGGTGACTATTGATTTGTTAGAGATGTAGAAAAAATATAAATTAAATAAAAAATAGTGGGAAAGATAGGAAGAGTGTAATGTCTAGTCGTATTAATATTAATCTCAATAATATACATACATATATATATAATATTTATAGATAGAAAACACATGTATAGTAATAATATTATACATAATAACATATTAAAAATATTCACCACTACGTGCGTAGTTACTTACTTTTACATATATATTACATATTATTAAAAATATTGACAATACATGCCTATTTACATATAAGAGTAGTTTAAAAGTTGTTATAACAACAAAATTGTAAATAAAAAATTATGTACACCAAATCAAACCCTCTTATTATATATGCTAGAAAAAAGGCACTTGGTGGAATAAACAAAATAAAGTAGTGGACAATTATTATTTTTAAAGAGGATAATTATTCTTTGTATATACATATTTTTCTATCTTATCCTTATATAAACATTAGTGAAAAAATAAATAAAGCACAACAAAAAAAGAGCATAATTTTCTTTAAAAAAGAGGACACCAAAAGGAGATATCTCCTTTATATATTGTTATAGATAAAGAGGGTAGCTATTCTTCGTATATATATATTTTCTATTTTATCCTTAAATATATATTAGTAAAAAAATAAATAAAATATAACAAAAAGAGTATAATTGTTTTAAAAAAAAGTGAACACCAAAAGTAATGTTATATATACTCATTTATTTTGTAAAAACCTCCATTTTTGTTTAAGTGTATTTTAATATTTTATAATTATATATTATCTTAATTTACATTTTGTAACTTCTATTAATTTATTTTTTATTTTAAACAAAATACATATGAATACCAAATATCTAGACTATATTAGTCTATTATATGTTATATATAAAGGGGATACCCCATTTAATTTCTATATTTTTTAGACATTTATACTTCTTTATCATATATTAATATTTTTCTCACCATCATATCTCTTAAGAATAAAAAAGAAAAAATATATGTTTTCAAAAAATTAATTATTCATTCTATCAATAATAATTACCTATCTATTTTGTAACCACTTTAGTCTCCGTTTGTGTTTAAGAATATTTTAACCTTTTCTAATTATACATCATTTCACTTGATTTATAAGTTTTTATTCCATTTTTATTTTATTATATTTTTAAATAAAATTCATAACAACATACTTTAAGTAACCCCTCTAGTATAATATATATGAAAAAGAATACTTCCTTTACTAACTACTTTTAGTCTCCACATTTAGTAGATTATTATATGTTTTAGTTATGAAAAAACAAAATAAAAATAATTTTTTTACAATAATAATAATAATAATAATAATAATAATAATAATAATAATAGTAATAATAACAACTTTTAGTCTCTACATTTATAGGATTATTATACCTTCCAGTTTATTTAAATAATAAAATTAAAAATAAAGAATTTTACAATAATAATTGGAGCACGGTTATTAGGCATGGCAAACGGGCGGGGCGTAGGCATGGCAACGGGGCGGGGCGGGTACGGGTTTGATGATACCCGTCCCCGTCCCCGCGACTAAAACTCATGCCCGTCCTCGTCCCCATACCCGTCGGGTATGGGATTTTTGTCTCATCCCCGTCCCCGTCGGGTATCGAGTATACCCGTACCCGTAAAAAAAAAAATTACTTAAGTGGAACCAAGATAAGGTTCACTTAACCTTAGGCGCCCAAAATTTGAATTCAAAATTCAAATTTTGGTGCCTAAACCCGGATCACCCATGTGCAAGCTCATTTGGAATGTCATTAGACTTCCATTTGAGTTGCATTTCAGATCACACCATGTGCATGTGTTGCACATGGCCGAAATACACACCAAATGTGAATCTAATTACATTCTAATGCAACTACACATGTAACCTAAATAACCCTAAATTCAAATGACCTTAAAAGGAGAAACCTAAGCTAAATGGCCGTGAATACAAGGAACTAAGTCCAAAACCTATACAACAAAATACAAGAGAAAAGTGAATATGAGACATGAGATATGATGATATGTTATAATAAGACATGATGATGTGATATGAGAATGCATAGAGTCTTGAATTACATGCATCATTTTTAGAGTAAGAAAATGAATTATAGAGCCTAAGAGGAATGCTTCTATCTATCCCATCAAAGAAAAATAAACTATCAAAATTAGACTCCCTAATAGTAGATATAGGATCCTCCTTTAAGCATAACCTAGAAGGAAAGCCTAAAAATGTAGTGACACTGTGACTTAAACAATGAAAAGAATGATTCCTAAAAACAATTTTGACTAGAAAATATAAGGAAAAATTGACTAGAAAATACCCTAAACAATTTTGGATTTGATAATCATATAAGCTACATTTGTTTTGTAGGGAAGAAATCAAGTTAAGTTCAAAAGAAGAAGAACTTCCTATAAAAGCAAACATAGAATATAGATTATTACAAATTGGTGTCATCAAACAATGTATACAAAAGATTGGGTGCTTT